TTTTTATTACAGCACTGGACGAAGATGTAATATCAATGACTTGGACAATGTAAAAGTTAAAGTAATGGTATACTGCAATCCATTAGATTTAGCACTGAAAGTCATTGAAATGGTTCTTCTTCTTCACAAATGCTAGAATTGTCCGAATACTCAGATTCACTGAGTGCTTTTCCTTCCATCTTTTGTACTTTAGAGGTGAAGATAAAGTTCTGTTAAAATTTATATCAGTGTAATGTCTATTTCCTTGATCACACAGTTTTTAACTTTATCAACATACATTGCAAAGAATTTGGGGTCATCTTTGACCTGCTTTTCAGGGTGTGGCATTCATCATCCACTGAACAGAAGATTAAGCATAAATTTTAATAATCACTGATGTAGGGGTCTCTCGTATGGAAAGCACTAATATATAAAAAAAAAAAAAACAATGGCTTAAGGAAAAACAAAACAATGAAAAGACAATGCTAAAAATGTATCCAGTATTTTTTTTTATTTTAAGAAAATGTAACCTCTGAAATGGGACTTAGAACTAGTAAACAAATACATAGTTGGCCACTCATATTTGAGGATACCTGTCTACAAGGGCTGCTATCCAATCCCTATTGCAGACGCTTGCTCAGTTGCATTTGTGTTTATTCAACACCTACAGAGCCCACCTGTGGTTTATACTGCAACTATGCTAAGCAGACCTTAGTTACTGTTTCTGTGAAAGTGTATGTTAACCTAGCGTGATCAATAATTTGAACAAGGCCAGCATGCTCAAGCCCTCGGACACGATGACTTGCGACTTTGTGCTAGCACAGTTATCAATGACCCCAAAGGGTTTCGTCTACTCAATTTCGCTCACAAGGCATGGGTCAATATGTGCTACGGTTTTCAGGCACTTTCCAAAGGTGCTGCACACTGTGATCGACCCCCTACAGTCCGATAACATCAGGAAGTCTCCTTCCTAACAAATTGACCATGGTGAGATTTAAACATGTGTGACGTCCTGCAGCCTTCGCTCGCCCCTCGCTGCTTCGTTCGGGTGTCGCCACTCCAAACGTGACGTCCGCCTGTCTGCGTCAGTCGTGCTATCCCGTCCTGTAACGACCAACTGGCTTGGTATTGGTCGCGGCACCCAAATGTGACGTTCTAACCTTTTGGTGATTCGGATGGGAATCTGGTCAGATCCGGTATCAGCCCTCATCGTTCCCAACTCGCTTCCAACGTCTGGTTACCGAAGTAACTGCGTTGATCTCCAGTCCGCCTACCCACTTTGTGAACTGATCTTAGGCAGACGAAATCAATCAGTCGTTGGGGCCGTAATGCAAGTTGAGTTCAAATGAGGGTGGTATCGCACAAATATGTGTAAAAGAAAATAATAACTCAAAAGTTCAAGGTATCAAAAAAAGGATAACAATACTTTATATCTGGTTGCTGGATACATAGGACTGCGTCTGTCTCCCGACCTGTTATATGGATTCGTGACACGTTGTTTTTGTTAGGTGAGTTTTAACATCTTAAGTTGTCTGTTCTTTAAGAAACTGGTTCTTGGTGTGTCTTCAGGCGATAGTCGTAAAACTTATTTTGGTGGTATGGATCTAAGTCGCTCTTCAAAAATAAATTGTTCTTGGATTGAAGATGAGTTCGGAAGTTGCGCGAATCTTACAAGTCAGCTTTGCGAGGCCCACTTCAACTGCGAATTGGAAGCTGAACCGAATTGGACTAACTGGGAAACACTTTTTCGCTCACTGCGACTTTGCTTATATGGAAACCGACCAAAACCGGGGTGGGCTTTGTTGGGGTTTGATGTTCCTTGATAATTCCAAATCCACAATCCCCTTCTTTTGTTTTCGGTCAGGAAAAATTTATTATTTCCATTTTTGGAAGTCTTCTCTTACCCCTAACTTCAGAGGGCGTCAACGACCCCCCCACTTCTTCGCAGTAACATCTTATACCTATCCTCTTTAAGGAGTAGTAGCAGGCCTCCCCCCTGCATCACATGATCACCTCCACCTGGCTCTCGTTAACATTCAGCCAATGGTCGATCAACAGTGTGGGCGTGACCAGACTAGCCTGGTTTCTTAAAAAAAAATATCTTGCTCAAAGAAAAAAAGAATTATCTCTTTTTCTTTTTTTCTATTTCCTTTCTTTCTTTTCTTTTCTATTCTCTCTTCTTCTCTGGCCACCAACAGAACAATGCGGCCCGTAGTATGATAACCTCAATTCTCATCTGGACTTCGTCAATCAGATTTTGCCAATTATCAGAGTGGGTGGTCATCCAGCAAACACCGCCAACTTTTCCAATAAAATAGTTTTGCTATTATCGCCAGATTCTAACAAAACCCAGACCTTGTCTAACGATATCTTTCCCTCGACAAAGACTTAATCTATTTTCTTTGTCTTTTCTTCAGCTCGTGGGTAGTCAGGGCATTCTCGTGACACAGTTAAATGTTTATCTATTCTGTCCCGGAGTTTAGCAAGCTGATCTGGAATTTGTCAATTAGATTTTCGGCAGCACCAAGTGGCTGTTATCTATTCCCGATAATATAAGTCCGCCACCACGACACAGTTAATTTTTTATCTATTTAGAATTTTTGACAATGGCAATGAAATCTTTCACCATTTGCCACTATCAAAATTTCATTTTTTTCCTTTCTTTTCTTCCCTAAATGGTGTTACACATGTGTCTCATGGTCAGAAAGCAAACATTCTAACCACTCCACCACAATTAAAAAATAATCATTAAGAAATAAAAATTATTACATTCTAAAAATTACCTAATTTAATTTCAATTTTTTATGGACCCATGTGCCAAGTTTAAGATTAAACAGATATGTTAAAACAGGCACTTGATCAGTAAATTGAGTGACAGCACTTCACCAGACAATAGAAATATATTCACACCGAGAAGAAATTTCAGTAAACTTAAATAATGCCTAATGGTCAAATCCACTTTGAGCAATCGCCACTGCTTAGAACACATACATTAAGCTGAGGAATGGGAGTCTAATATCTTCAGAAATTTGTTAGCCAAACGGGGTGAGTTCAATTCTAGGTAAGACCTCAAGAATCAGCATAGTTAACAATATATCCAGTTCAGTGTTATTTTATTTTTTTTACCAAATGTATCTGGTTTAATGTCTTTTTTCTTCAAAAGATAACAGCAATAGTCAATGTGAAAGTGATTTGAATGTGAGTTTGGATAAAATACAATGAATAAGTATTGTATACAGTTTTAAAATGCATCACTAAAGAAAATATAATAAAAAGATGGCAAATGTGGGCCTTCATGCCAACAAAAAAAACAGTTTTTCCCTCGACACTGCTATTATTTTAACTACCTTCACTCCATGGCAGCGTTTATGGTTTTAAAAAGTGATGGTTAGAATTGGAATGAAACCAAAACACATGATGAAAGTGAATTTATGCATTTTTTTTCTTGAGTATTTACAACAAAAATATTAAACACTATTTATCAGATTTCTTATTTACAAGAATAATTTCATATTTACAAGATTCTAAAAACTAATACAATAAAAACTAATGTGATGCAAGATTTATCATTTACCAATTTATAGAGAAATAAATATAAATACGATTTTTTATTCATAAATTTATAAACATTTGCTAAATTATTAAAATATATGAACCTTATTATTTACCATTTTATAAAGCTTGAATCAATTTGCAATTAACCAATGTTTTGTCAATAATTCTAATAAACAAATAAATAAATAGTGATTAATATTTTTGGCTGTCAATTCTTAAGGATAAAGAAAATGTATAAATTCACTTTCATATGTTTAGGTTTTATAAAAATTATAATTATCACTTTTTAAAACAATAAACATTGCCAAAGAGTGAAGGTAGTTAAAATAATAGTGGTGTCAAGGGAAAAACTGTTCTTTTGATGTTAAATAATAGTTTAGCAGTCTTTTATTTTTAGAGGTAGTGTATCTTGGCACCAACTTCTGGAGGTTGACAGCTGGGTCAGATGTGAACCGTAATAGAAAAGTCGATTTTGATTGACTAAGCTAGTGTGGGAAAGAGATAGGAGAAAATGTTTTTGTGAGTTAGTTCTTACCTGTCAAGAGATGTAGACATGTTTTCTTTCATGTCCGAAATGGCTCCCCAGTTAGGAGGGGATGACGATACTGGATAGTTAGATAAGGTACATGTTGACATGATTAATAAAAACAGTTAAGCTAAAATTCTGTGTTGAAGTCTTTCATTGCCAAACCAAATTGATTGGCGATCGGCAGCCAATTGAAAAATCCAAACTGATATCATTTACTGCTGTCAGCATGCAACATTGACACTGTACAAAGGTTCAAATTTTCCAAAGAGATTTAAGCTATTTAATATCCATTGATGAAACAAGTTTGATTAAAAAAGTTCTGCTGATTTTCATTCACTTTGTCAGCAATGTAATTAAATGCATTAGACCCAACCATTTTGCACAAAATAAACACGGTATACACTCTTTTTGATTCATATGTGCCTCAAGATCACTATATTCAGTGATATAAAACCAACTGATTATTAAAGATGAGAAAATGTTCTACGCAAAAATGCAATTTTCACTTTTTTAAATGTTAGATTTCTATAGCATTTTAGACACTAAAGTTTTCAACTTGGAAATATTTTGTGAAAAACAGCTTCAAACCTTATATTAAGCCCACCAAATTGATCAATGTCCTTTTCTTCTTTAAAATGTCACTATTTTGCTATCTGTAAGGAAACACAACTTTAAGTGCAGCAAGTTTATCAATTTTGAAATAGCAACCTAATTTAAAGAGATGTGGAATAAAAACTAATCATCACACACGAGAAAGAATTGTATCTTTGGAAAGAGAAAAGATTAAATTTTGTTTATATACTAATTTTATCACAATAGCCTCGAAAATAAACAAGATATCAGCAGTTGAAAGGAAAGGAAATTTCATTACTTTGACACGTGCACAAAATGTAAACTAGGGTAGTTTGGGATATCTAATAAGTGACATTCCACTTACGAACAGAGGTATCAACTTTTGTTGTACTGATTTGAGAGTCACTGACTGTGTCTTTCACATCGATGACAACTTTGCCCAAGAGAAGGCCAACCTAAAAAGAAAGAAAATAAGATTTTACAAGATTTTCTTACATACTGACACACAAAGCAAACAGTAAAATGCTTACCTTTTTTATGATACAAGTTTATGCAGAATAATTGAAAGAAATACTCATAAAAAGTCATATTTAAGAATGCTTTATCTTTGCAGTTTAGACAAAACTATCATTATGAGATGTAAAAGCAAGACAAAATTAAATAGACAAATCAAAAATAATTGACAATACTTCATCCAAGACAGAATGTAAGTGACCATGGCTCTCCACAGATTCCTTTTTTTTTCTTTTTTTTTATCTGTGAATTACCATATCTATCTGGGAAAGATTGTGAAATAGTTCCTGTTACCTTATCCAATGTTTTAAATTTTAGTCCTCTTAGTAAGGTTGCCATTCAATGCTGGAAAAATATTGATTTGTTTTTTTACAGCTTATCAATCTTTTGCAAGTTATTTAAAGCCAGGAAATATTTTTTTGAATTGTAAGATTTTTTTTTTTTGAGATAATAATGAATCTGATAAATCAAAATACAGAATGTCATCAGCAATGTTGGAAAAAGAACACGTCAATGCATATGACTGATACATGTTGCCATTGCTGAAATATCTTTCTGCAACCTATGAAAGAACACACTTTCTGTCCTGCTATTTCTTTTTATGTTCTGTAGTGTTTCTATGTCTATACTTCTTATTGAGCCACTCATCTTTTGCTTGCTTGCATTAATTTCTAAAATTATTATATATATATATATATATATATATATATATAAAAATATTATATATATATATTTTTTATAGTAAAACCAAAAATTACCTCAACATAGTACAGTCTATCTCAAGCCGTTCTGTATGCAGCTATCATCAGCCTAGCGATAGTCATGTACAGAACAGCTGGAAACAGACTGTACTATGTTGAGGTACTTTTTGTTTTTTTTGGTGTAAAAATACATATACTCTGTTATAATAAATACATCAAGCTCTCTGTGGATCAGTTTTAATAATTAATATTACTAGGATCATTATATACCAACTGATCGATTACCTGTACTATATATATATATATATATATATATATATATATATATATATGTGTGTATGTATGTATGTATGTATGTGTGTGTGTGGAGGAGAGGCATGATGGAGTAATGGATAGTGGCTTGGATTGAGGAATCAGAGAGCTGAGTTTGAATTCGGTCAAGTTCATTGCTTTCACTTATGTGCTAATACCCTTGGGAAAGGTATGAATCCATCTCTTTGCCACCAGCTATGGGTAAATAGCAGGAGAAACTAGATCCTATAGCTTTCATTAGCAACCAGTCTAGAAGAAGGACAGTTCTGAATTCAAACCACATACTACCTTGTTGGTCCCGCCTTTTTAACATTTAAGAGGAAGGATAGCGTAACCTCAAAATCCACAGTGCAAAAGGAATCAGCAAGCCATCGCACTATTCTGAATATCACCATGAATCACAATTGTGAGATGAAGGGGAGTGGTGGCCACAGCAGCACAAATTGTGCTAACTGAATAAATGATGAAATAAATATATATATATATATATATATATATATATGAAGTCAGCTCTCAGCAGTAACAGTCTGTTTCATGCTTAAACACAATTGTCAGGCCCGTAAACAGTAAATTCTTGCAGAACAATGTAATATACCAAGCCACTGTAAAGTTAGCAGGTAACAAAGAAAAAATATACATAAGAGTAACTGAAGGACCCTGGAAGCTAAGGAACAATGTGCACAAAACAAATACTGATTATGCAAACAGCACAATGCTTTCTAAACATATCTGGGAGATTAAAAACAAAAAATATTATGGAAAATAAGGAAAACAGCATCAACATACACTAATAAATCCCAAAACTATTAAACTCTGTCTCAAAGAGAAAATAGATATAATTACCTTCCCAGATCAACACAAACTACTAAATAAATGATCAGAACTCATCTCAAAATATAGACATGAAAATAAATTTTACTGTATTACTTAAAAATCAAAAACTAAAAACAAACAAGAATAAATAAAAATAAGTAAAATAAATTAATCCAAACCAATAAATTAGTAAATAATAAACAAATTGACAAACTACGAATGCATACATAAACGCAACTTAACACAATAATAACAATAAAATAATCAATAATAAAAATTTTAATGAACAACACTTTTTTTTTTTGACGCAACAATTTTAAAAGCTTTTGTAAGAATAAGCTAATTTCTAAAGTGGGTCGAAACCTAAAAACTGAGACTTATATTATTATACACAGGGTTTGACAAAAGTAACGCCCTTTTTATTTTTTTTTTTCAAACTTTTATTGAAAATAAATTAGTAATTTAAGAAAATTTATAAGTATTGTCACATTTAAACAACATGATTTGTTATGATTACCAAACTATTTAACCTGTTCAAAATGGTCCCCTTCATGTTCGATACAATGCTGAACCCTATCAGCAACACTTCTACAAACCATTTGACACATTTCTACATTAATTTCAGAAAACTTATCAGAAATTGTATGTTCTAAATTCAGGAATTGTTTTTGGTTTGAGTCTGAAAACAAGAATTTTCAGTCCTCACCCCACAAGAAAAAGGCAGGTGGTGTTAGGTCTGGTGATCATGATGAGTACTCTGTATATTCTGATGCTTTGCTTAAAATGTTCCACTTTGAGCTGCTGACCTGCATAAGGCAAAACCCTAGTTGATATAATAAAAAGCCAATTTGCCTTGTGGTTGATAAAGTCATATCTTTCACATCAGTGCCAGAGATCAGTGTTTGAAGTCTAAACCAAGATTTCAAAATTTGAATTTGCTAATAGGTTTTTCCCAATGATCAGATGGCTCTTTGTCACTGCCAATTGACCCTGTGTTGTATGATGCTAAACGGAGTGAACATGGAGATATTTTTATTGACTGAAGCATTAATATCATCCAATACAGATTGAAATGAAGAATGACCTTCTTTGTCTTCATTTATGGAAAACATTTTTGCAAAAACATTATATTTTTATGCATCAAGAAAGAAAAAAAAAAAAGGTTCAACAAATGCATTTACATGGAACCGGGGGGGGGGGGAGAAAAGAAGCAAATCTAACAGATGGATCAACAAATGACTGATTTTTTCATTTTGCTGACATGTAATTTTATCTTGGAGAAGAGGGGGAAGAGGGGATCTTAGAGAGAGAGAAGAGAAAGATAGAGATGAAGAGGGAGGTGAAGATGAGGAGTCTATGGAATGGATTATAAGAAGAGATCAGATAAACTTGTCAGCATTGTCAAGAGTTTTCATTTGTTGATGGATTCCACTCTTTTACTCTTGGAGAGAGAAACAAGAGAGGGGGACAGAGAGAAAGGACAAGTGGAGAGAGAGGGTGAGAGAGAGTACGAGTGAAGGGAGAGGGAGAGAGTACGAGTGAAGGGAGAGGGAGAGAGTACGAGTGAAGGGAGAGGGAAAAAGAGAGAGAGAGAGAGAGAATGTGTGAAGAGAGAGGAAAACAACAAGTGAAGAGAAAAACAATTAGTGAAGAAGGACAGAACAGATAAAGAAAAGAGAAAATAAAGAGTGAGGGAGGGAGGAAGAGAGAAAGTGTATGAACAAGAGAGACTGAAACAGAATGGCCGAGAGAGATAGACTGAAAGAGAGCGACTGAGAGAGATAGACTGACAGAGAGTGGCCGAGGAGAGATAGACTGAAGAGAGCGGCCGGTGAGAGATGAGAGAGAGATAGAGGGCCAGATGAGAGAGATTGAGAGAGAGGGCCGAGAGAGCAGCGGCAGATGAGACAGATGAGACAGAGACTGAGAGAGCGCCAGACGAGACAGCCAGATGAGAGGGGACTGAGAGAGAGAGCAGCCAGGCCGAGACAGACCGGAGAGAGAGCGGCCGAGTGAGAGAGAGCAGCGGCCAGACGAGACAGACCGAGAGAGAGCGGCCGAGTGAGAGAGAGCAGCGGCCAGACGAGACAGACCGAGAGAGAGCGGCCGAGTGAGAGAGAGCAGCGGCCAGACGAGACAGACCGAGAGAGAGCAGCGCTGAGAGAGAGCAGACACAGACCGGGAGCAGCAGAGCGGCCGAGACAGACCGAGCAGCGCTGCCAGATGAGACAGACCGAGAGAGAGCGGCCGAGTGAGAGAGAGCAGCGGCCAGATGAGACAGACCGAGAGAGAGCGGCCGAGTGAGAGAGAGCAGCGGCCAGATGAGACAGACCGAGAGAGAGCGGCCGAGTGAGAGAGAGCAGCGGCCAGATGAGACAGACCGAGAGAGAGCGGCCGAGTGAGAGAGAGCAGCGGCCAGATGAGACAGACCGAGAGAGCGCCGAGGAGAGCGGCCGAGATGAGACAGAGCAGCGAGAGAGAGCAGCGGAGATGAGACAGACAGGACCGGAGAGAGCGGCCGAAAGGGAGAGGAGAGCAGCGGCCAGATGAGACAGACCGAGAGAGAGCGGCCGGAAGGAGAGAGAGAGCAGCGGCCAGATGAGACAGACCGAGAGAGAGCGGCCGAGTGAGAGAGAGCAGCGGCCAGATGAGACAGACCAGAGAGAGCGGCCGAGAGAGAGAGAGCAGCGCCAGATGAGACAGACAGAGAGAGAGCGGTTGAGAGAGAGAGAGCGGCTGAGGAGAGGAGAGCCAGATGGAGATGAGGACTGAGAGAGAGCGGCACAGAGAGAGAGCGGTAGTGAGAGAGAGAGCGGGCCAGATGAGAGAGAGCAGCGCCAAAAAAAAAAAAAAAAAAAAGATGAGACCGAGAGAGCGCGGAAAGAGAGAGCGGCCAGATGAGACAGACCGAGAGAGGCGGCCAGATGAGATGAGACAGACCGAGCGGCCAGATGAGATAGACTGAAAGAGAATGGCCGAGAGATAGAGAGAGCTGAAAACATTATTAAAATTGACAAAATTATGTAATAATGAAACAAAGCAGAACCTTGCTATTTAAAAAAAAAAAAAAAAAAAAAAAAATTATGATCACTCACTTTGTTTTGTTAAATTCTAACCTGTTTTATTCCCAACTCTGGCTCTATACATTTCATTATTACTATTATTTTATTACTAGTTTATTTCTATCCCAACATTCAATCTGGCTCTATACACTCTTCATTATTATTACTATTATTTTATTATTAGTTTTATTCCATCTTATTATTGTTGCTTTTTATCCCAACAGTCTGGCTCTATACACTCTTCATTATTACTATTATTTTATTATTAGTTTTATTCAATCTTATTATTGCTTTTTGTCTGGCTCTTTTTCATTATTACCCATCTTATTATTGTTGCTTTTTATCCCAACAGTCTGGCTCTATACACTCTTCATTATTACTATTATTTTATTATTTTATTCCATCTTATTATTGTTGCTTTTATCCCAACAGTCTGGCTCTATACACTCTTCATTATTACTATTATTTTATTATTAGTTTTATTCCATCTTATTATTGTTGCTTTTTATCCAACAGTCTGGCTCTATACACTCTTCATTATTACTATTATTTTATTATTAGTTTTATTCCATCTTATTATTGTTGCTTTTTATCCCAACAGTCTGGCTCTATACACTCTTCATTATTACTATTATTTTATTATTAGTTTTATTCCATCTTATTATTGTTTATTTTTTATCCCAATTCATCTCTTGTTGCTTTTTTATACACTCTCTTCATTATTACTATTATTTTATTATTAGTTTTATTCAATCTTATTGTTGCTTTTTTATCCCAACAGTCTGGCTCTATACACTCTTCATTATTACTATTATTTTATTATTAGTTTTATTCCATCTTATTATTGTTGCTTTTTATCCCAACAGTCTGGCTCTATACACTCTTCATTATTACTATTATTTTATTATTTTTTATTCCATCTTATTATTGTTTTATTGGCTCTATACACTCTTCATTACTATTATTTTATTATTAGTTTTATTCCATCTTATTGTTGCTTTTTATCCCAACAGTCTGGCTCTATACACTCTTCATTATTACTATTATTTTATTATTAGTTTTATTCCATCTTATTATTGTTTTTTTTATCCCAACAGTCTGGCTCTATACATTTTCATTATTACTATTATTTTATTATTAGTTTTATTCCATCTTATTATTGTTGCTTTTTATCCCAACAGTCTGGCTCTATACACTCTTCATTATTACTATTATTTTATTATTAGTTTTATTTCTTATTATTAGTTTTTTTTCCCAACAGTCTTCTTATCTTCATTATTATTATTATTTTATCCCAACAGTTTCATCTTATTATTGTTGCTTTTTATCCCAACAGTCTGGCTCTATTTTCATTATTACTATTATTTTATTATTAGTTTTATTCCATCTTATTATTGTTGCTTTTTATCCCAACAGTCTGGCTCTATACACTCTTCATTATTACTATTATTTTATTATTAGTTTTATTTCATCTTATTATTGTTGCTTTTTATCCCAACAGTCTGGCTCTATACACTCTTCATTATTACTATTATTTTATTATTAGTTTTATTCCATCTTATTATTGTTGCTTTTTTATCCCAACAGTCTGGCTCTATACTTTCATTATTACTATTATTTTATTATTAGTTTTATTCCATCTTATTATTGTTGCTTTTTATCCCAACAGTCTGGCTCTATACACTCTTCATTATTACTATTATTTTATTATTAGTTTTATTCCATCTTATTATTGTTGCTTTTTATCCCAACAGTCTGGCTCTATACACTCTTCATTATTACTATTATTTTATTATTAGTTTTATTCCATCTTATTATTGTTGCTTTTTTCCCCAACAGTCTGGCTCTATACACTTTCATTATTACTATTATTTTATTATTAGTTTTATTCCATCTTATTATTGTTTTTTTATTCTGGCTCTATACACTCTTCATTATATTATTTTATTATTAGTTTTATTATTATTGTTGCTTTTTATCCCAACAGTCTGGCTCTATACACCATTATTACTATTATTTTTATTATTAGTTTTATTCAGTCTGGCTCTATACACTCTTCATTATTACTATTATTTTATTATTAGTTTTATTCCATCTTATTATTGTTGCTTTTTATCCCAACAGTCTGGCTCTATACACTCTTCATTATTACTATTATTTTATTATTAGTTTTATTCCATCTTATTATTGTTGCTTTTTATCCCAACAGTCTGGCTCTATACACTCTTCATTATTACTATTATTTTATTATTAGTTTTATTCAATCTTATTATTGTTTTTTTTATCCCAACAGTCTGGCTCTATACACTCTTCATTATTACTATTATTTTATTATTAGTTTTATTCCATCTTATTATTGTTGCTTTTTTATCCCAACAGTCTGGCTCTATACACTCTTCATTATTACTATTATTTTATTATTAGTTTTATTCCATCTTATTATTGTTGCTTTTTATCCCAACACTCTGGCGCTATACACTCTTCAGTATTACTATTATTTTATTATTAGTTTTATTCCATCTTGTTATTGTGGCTTTTTATCCCAACGCTCTGGCGCTATACACTCTTCATTATTACTAATATTTTATTATTAGTTTCATTCCATCTTGTTATTGTTGCTTTTATCCCAACAGTCTGGCTCTATTTCATTATTATCCAATCTTATTATTATTGCTTTTTATCCCAACAGTCTGGCTCTATACATCTTCATTATTACTATTATTTTATTATTAGTTTTATTCAATCTTATTATTATCCCAACACTATACACTCTTCATTATTACTATTTTTTATTATTAGTTTTATTCCATCTTATTATTGTTTTTTTATCCCAACCCTCTGGCTCTATACAATCTTCATTATTACTATTCCATCTTGTTGCTTTTTCCCAACCCTCTGGCTCTATTCTTCATTATTACTATTTTTATTGCCTTTTATCCAACACTTTGGGTCAACACACTTATTTACTTAAACTAAAATAATAGTAATAACAAAGAATACATCAACTTAACGTTGTGAAAACATGTAAAATAAGAAAGAGCAAAACTATAATAATAATAATAATAATAATAATAATAATAATAATAAAAAGTTATTGCAAATAGAAAGAAACAAGCATCTGCATGAGTAATATTTTATAAACAGGATGTCCTCGAAATATGCAGCCACTGTAACTGTCTGATAATTCTCTCTGACTGGAGGGGGGGTACACCCCAAAAGATGTTTATAACTTCACTAGGCATTTGTTTTCCTGAACTCTTAAAGAAAGTCATTTTTCTCAAGCATTTCTAACCCTTTCTAGGAAAGAGTTTAACTTAAAAGATAAAGTAAAACAGCTGCTATCAATAATAAAAAATATAAATAAAATAACAATCATGTCTACACACACACACACACACACACATTTTGTTAAAAATGACTGACATGGTACTGTGGTTAAGTTTTTTTTATTTAATTTTTCTTGTGTTCTTATAATTTTTTTTCTTTTCGGGATATAAATTATATAGAAATTGTCTGAATGTTCTTTTAGCAAATATCAAGGATGATTTTATTTTTACTTTTAACTGAATATGGAAATTCTTTTTTTATGTATGTATCTAGAGTTAAAGGAATGTTTTATTGTTCAAACATGGTCAGCACATTAAGGCCGTGTTCAGAGTCGATGTTATTGTGTTCACTTTTTCTTTTTATTAATAATGCTTCTATTATTTTTAGCTTTTTTTTTTTCACGTAGATCAGAGCTATTATATTTGTATTATCAACGGTCTTCATATGCGTTTAAATGAAACCTAACTGAAATATGGTCAGAGAGATGTAACGTGAGTCTCCCTGTTAGGTATGTTGTAGTATATCCAATATAATTATTTATGAATTTGGATTGACCAGCTATACAGTCCCTTAAGGGACAGGTGAATTCATAAATAATATTGGTCCTTTGTAATTTGGATTTTGCAGGTTAGTTATAATTATTAACGATGATGTTTGCAGTTTTAAATTAATTATAGAGAATTTAATTTTCTTGTTTTTGTCGACTGGAGTTGTATACTTCTTTATAATACTTCTTCAAGCGACGAAATACTCACTTAATATAAAATTGAGTATTTTGTATCTTGAACTGCCTGAAGAGTGTGTGATGCAGCCATGGATCAAACTGAGAGCCCACATGAAAGTTGCGGAAAGGCAGCAATACTTGAGTATCATATATATATATATATATATATATAAAATATATAAAATGTCTGTCTGCAAGTATGTATGTATTCTCAAACATGTTTGATTAAATAATATAGACAAGTTCTGTCTATCAATTATTTTTTTTAAAAGTTTTCAAATTTTTTAATTAAAAATTTAATATGATAGAAAACATTTATCATTCTAACAGTGCTTCCCAAATGGTGTGGTGAAATGATTGAAAAGACAATCAAAGATTTAGAAACAGATTTTAAAAATTAATATGCAAAATAAAAAACAAATAAAAAAAAAAAATTCAAAATTTAAAATATTATTACAGGTTACTTGTAACTGAATGCATGAATCTCAGTATAAATAATTATTGACCAATTTTATCATTGTGATATTTTTGCATTATATCAAATATTAAGAATATAGTAACTAGGGTGGCGACTGCTAAACTGGAGGAGAAAGTTATCAATGATAACACTCTGACTTTGAATATGCAGTTATCTCCCTTTAACCCTATCTCTCTCTTTTTTTTAATTTTTTAATATACAATTCATATATAATATATATATATATATATATATATATATATATATATATATATATACACACACACACATAAATATATATTTATCACATAAAATTCCCAATTAGGGCGTGAGCAAATTTTTGTTCTGAAAATGCAACCAGAGACAAAAAGGTTTGTGTACCAATGATTTAACATGTTTCTCTTTGATTTAAGCTTAGAATGTTGTCTTTTTTTTTTAGTTTCCATATCGGTATTTGATCCAAATTCATCTTCTCTGAACATGGAAACTACTTAAAGTGAAACATGTTAGATTGATAAAGGTTTCCGATCGATATTTGATCCCAATTCATTATATATTTTGAGGAGAAAAATTCCCACATTCCCAAAACAAAATTTTGTAAATTGGACACTGAATAATATTTGGTAAAATAATAAACAAGTAGGAATCTTTATACAAAATGATTTTTCAAAAATACAACTTCCATCTCTCCTTTTTTTCTCTCCCATTCCCGACTCCACCTCAGTTTCTCCTACGCATTCTGAAGTAAAACTTCTACAGCAAAACCATTTTCTCCCTCATTCCTGTCTCCCCCCTCAGTTTCTGCCATCCTCTCTCAAAAGTACTTTCCCTCCTGTTGCAAATACATTTTCTCTCATTCTTATCTCTCCCCCTCAGCCTCTCTTATCCTCTTCTGCTGTTGCAAATGAATTTTCTCTCATTTCTGTCACACTCTTTCTCAAATAGACATTTCTATCTCAAATCTTTACCTTCATTATTCTTTCTGACACTTTTCTCCTATCAAGTGGCACATTTTTGTCTAATTTTTATCACCAAGACACTACTTTCATGAACACATTCATACACTATCTCTCAATATTTCTTTTTCTCTCAATATTTCTTTCCTTCTTTTTCTCTCAATATTTCTCCTTCTTTTTCTCTCTCAATATTTCTCTTTCTTTTTCTCTCAATATTTCTCTTTTTCTTTTAATATTTCTCCTTCTTTTTCTCTTTCTTTTTCTCTCAATATTTCTCTTTCTTTTTCTCTCAATATTTCTTTCTTTTTCTCTCAATATTTCTCTTTTTCTTTTTCTCTCAATATTTCTCTTTCTTTTTCTCTCAATATTTCTCTTTTTCTTTTTCTCTCAATATTTCTCTTTTTCTTTTTCTCTCAATATTTCTCTTTTTCTTTTTCTCTCAATATTTCTCTCTTTCTTTTTCTCTCAATATTTCTCTCTTTCTTTTTCTCTCAATATTTCTCTCTTTCTTTTTCTCTCAATATTTCTCTCTTTCTTTTTCTCTCAATACTTCTCTCTTTCTCAGTATTTCTTTTTTTCCTTACCAGTATTTCTTTCTTTCTCTTTTTCTTGCCACTTTGTCACACACATAGTTTCATTCTCTTACACATTCTTCTGCTCTCTCTCTATCCCCCTTTCTGCTAAATACACTCTTTTTCCATCTCTTATCACAAATATTGCACCAACCCTCTCTCACAATGGCAATGACTTTCTCTCTGTCTCTCTCTCTCTCTCTGCTAAGTACAGAAGTTTGGAAATGGGCAGTGGTAGCGACATTGAGGCTTGCCTCATTCCAGAAGTGATGAGTAATTCACAAGTCAGGTACCAAAAATAGAGTCTCCAGAGTGGAGATTGGGATACAAGGGTGGCATGATGGTTAGTGGTGGGAGGAGCCAGGGTAGGGGGAGGGAGGCTTACTACGTCTTATAGCTTGGTTGGCTGGCTGTCTGTCCGGCTGAAGGTCTCAAGCATGTAATACCACAACCACAGAAGAATAATTTCTAAATATACAAGCAAATCTTCCAGAGATCCCACCACCAACAGGCATAGGAATAACATTATATCAAATGGTCTATTTCAGGTTGGCAGAGAGGCGGGTAGAGATTTGGAGCCACTAACTTCAATAGAATAGATGAAAAGAACAAACAAAAAAATCTCAGAAACTGAAGAGAACTGTTAAAATTTTAACATTTTGTTTAAGGCTTAAGAGAATTTAAATATAAGCATGATCAAATTTGGTTGGTAAAAAGTAAGAAATACTAATGGCTTGAACTCTGGTAAAAAGCAGCAGTTTTTTTTTCTTCAATTCTAAAGAAATATCATTTTCTGCTGTCAAAGACCTAATAAGAATATTATTACTATAACCCGGGCTCCTTTTTTTTTTTTTAAATCACTTTGCTTCAATCAAGGCAACAAAGTCACTAAGACACAAGTGACTACTAGAAGTGAAAAAGAATGAAAATATTTTAGAAGGAACTGGAAACCTGACCCTAAACAGAGAACAAGGGATAAATCTTTACTCCTGTTCAAAAGACTGGGGTTGTGTGTGTGAATTTGATGATAGACTTATAAAAATAAAAAAAATAAATAAATTTTCAGAGTTTCGACGAAGGCGTTACAATTATAGTGCTGAAATAGACTTTAGAAGGCACTGGAAACCCGATTCTAAACAAGGGATAAACATCTACTCCTGTTCAGAAGACTGGAAGGAGTGTGAACTGGGCAAAACCTATTTACTCCTATTGTTGTGTATATATAGACAGCAAGTATTCATTCAAACAAATTTTGTTAAAGTCAGCTGACAAGGTCTGTCTAATTTTTCATATTTTCCAAATTTCCGAATGAGATATTGTTTATCAGGTTTGAAATTATGAATAAACTGTCCAAAGTTCAGGATTTCTTTTTTTTTTTTTTTTTTTTTTCATGTTTTCGCCAAGTATTTTTTTACTATCTCAGTCATTATCAAGAACTGGGTGTTTCCGATATGGTGAATTTTTTGTCATATATAAATATTTTTGGGAAATCTAATAAAAAAGCTAACCAGATATCACTTCTCAATCGTCAGTGCTCATATATATATGACAAAATGGAAAAAGATTTTGTGATGCATTTCATCAGATGAAATGTGTCAAAAACTTTTTCTAATTTTTCATACATACAAAGTGTAACAGCAAAAGTATCCAAATCATGTGAAAGTAAAATTGTCCAGTTGTTAGATTAAGCTTTGAACTGTTGTATCTTAGAAATGATTCAAGATATCTTACTGGAATCTTCTGAGGTTTTTAGAACACTACTGGACTCTACTTTGGGTAATAAGAATGTATAATTACTCTCCAAGATTAACAGAAGTATTGTGATGAAATTGATCATAAACAAAAATGACATGTTTATCATTAATTAATCATAGCTAAGGATCAGAAGCTCATGAAGGATTGAAATAAAGTTCAAATATATATATATATGTGTGTGTGCATGTGTGTGTGTGCTATTCCAGGATCATTTTCCAACTTATTCAAGATGATCTTTGCCCTCTCTAAAATTTTAACTTTCTGTCCTGGAATAACAAGCTGCCTCACATGTTTCATGTATGATTACATTTTCAAGTCTTTTTTCACTGCTCTTTGGACTGTCATTGGTGAAATTCCTCTTTCACGTGCCAAACGTCTTATGAATTAAGCTGGATCTTTTCTAATTGACCTCTTTAGCTCTAAGTTGAAATGATGATCTCTCTTCCTGTTGTAACCTCTTGATCCAGTTTTCCCTTTTTTAAAACTTATTCACCGTTTTGTTGATGGTTCGTGAATGAACTCAGAAGATGGAAGCCAGAGTATGAATGTTGGTACCATTACTGAAGACCTGAATGATTTTTTCCTCTCACCATTGCTCAGTTGAGAAGAAAGTGGAGCTCACGCAAAATGATTTTAACATGTTCTCCTTCTAGATGAATAACTCAAAGGGTTTTTTAGGGATTCTTACAATAAATGGTGTCAAGATGGTTAAAAAAGAACATTATTTACATGACTATTGTCCTCATTTTTGTCACCATATTTATCACAATGTTTCGGCCGTTGTACGCTCCAGCCTTCTTCAGGTGGTTGGAATTTCGAACTGAACCCTTTATTTCACTTACTGGGGTAGACTGTTCTAGTTCCACGTGCCATGTTTGATGGATATCTCCTGCTAATTTCCCTCTGAAAGTTCTCCACTGCCTTAACCGGCATTGAACTCACACTCTTTGGGTCCTGTCACTGGATCTAACCAATGCTTTTATCCACTGTGCCATGTGTCCTTGAGAACATCTGGGTATGAATTTCTGGGTATTATAAACCTAATGTCTTAAGCAACCATTTTTACCAGTGCTCATATTGCAATTTTTGCTGTTATCATTGCATGTTTTTACCAGAGCTCGTATTGCAACTTTGTTGTTATTGCTTTTCTCTGGCACTCCTTATTACTGGTTCCCATATTGTATTTATTTCTATGCTTGGTCGGCTCAGGAGATTTTTGTGGCCTAGCATATGTGCTGATTCCTTAAATTTACAAATTTTCCAATGGTGTTCCTTGTCTATGATCTCGACATGATCCCACAGAGGGCAATGATCTCCCTTCTCTCTCCATATGTGGTCTGGCACGCCTGATTTTTCTACTTCCCCTCGCGTTACAGCTTTCTGGTGTTCATGAAGCCTTACCTTGAGGGGGTGGCCTGTCTCTCCTTTATATTCCTTTCCGCAGCTGCACAGGATAGTGTACACACAGTCTTTAGTCATGTTCTCCTCTATGGGGGGTCTTATGGGGGAGAGATATCTGCGAAGTGTTGTCAAGCTTTTGAAGGTTGTCCTGATGTTATAGGGACCGCAGATCCTTTGTATTTTCTCTGATAACCCCTTCACATAAGGCAGGCAGACTGTTTTCTGAGTGTTGTTGTCCTCCTCCTCTTGTACCTGCCTATCCCAGTTTTTTTTGGGGGGGTGCTGCCATGTACCCAGGGTAGTTGTTACGTTGTAGGGTACTACTTATACTGACCAATTCTTTATCTAACGTCTCTGGGTCGACACTTATGACTTTTGCTCGGTGTTGTAAGCAACGGACAATCCCTTTCTTTACACTGTGTGGATGGTGGAAGTTGAAATTGAGGTACTGCTCGGTGAATGTTGGTTTACAGTATACAGATGTCTTAAACCCATGCTCTGTTCGAGATATTAGAACATCCAGGAATGGAAGTGTGTTGTTACTCTCTTTCTCCATTGTGAACTGTATCGAAGGTCTTATTGAGTTCACATGATCCAGCAGAACCTGAACATCTTCCTGGTGTGGCCAGAGTATGAAGGTGTCATCTACGTACCTTAACCAAATAGTTAGCTTTAGAGATATAGATTCTAATGCCATTTCCTCAAAGTATTCCATGTATATATTCGCCATTGCTGGTGTTAATGGTGAGCCCATTGCTAAGCCCTCATCCTAGACAGACTATGAGAAAAGAAACTCAATTAGTTTAGTTATATATATATATATAATTAACAATTATCGCAATCGAATTAAGTCGACTCACCCATGAAAGATTATTACCTGTAGAACAACATTTCCGCCTAGAAAAACACGATTTTAAAACCCATGCCAAATTCATGATAATTGAGAGAATAGAAAAATCCAGAGCAGATAACATTAGAAAGATTTTAGAAGGACATGAAAATAAGTGGATACAATGTTTAAAAACGCACTATCCAGCCAGGCTTAACCATAAATTTAACATAGATAGTATTAATATATAACCCTACAAATCAAAACCTACCCACATTTCTCACCCACACAAGACAGACATGAGGCCTCACACTTACACACCCACCCACATGAATATACACACTTTTACACATCATTCACTCCCTAATGAGCCAAATGATAACATACACCCATATTAATATACACACTTTCACACATCATTCACTCCCTAATGAGCCAAATGATAACACACCCATATTAATATACACACTTTCACACATCATTCACTCCCTAATGAGCCAAATGATAACATACACCCATATTAATATACACACTTACACATCATACTCACTCACTCCCTAAGAACCAGATAATACACACACACTATTAACAGAGACACATCCCCTTTCCAGAAACCAATAAAACTGTCAAAATGACCAAGTGAATTCAGAGCAGCATGAATTCATCCAGCTCTTATCTTAAATAACAACTTAAAAGAGACTGTTTGATCAACACAAGGTCTGACCAAAATTCATGTTAAAAAAAATTTAAAAAACAAATGAAAACTACAGACAAAAGTTCATTTTCTCCATCAAGACATTCATTTCTGTAGTTCACTGCTACCAACAAGCAGAAAATTATTTTTCTCCTGATGATGGCCATGTTGGCTGAAATTAATAAAGAAATCTAAATGAAATAATAATAAAAACAAAGGAATATTAACATACAACCCAGTGTGTCTGAAGATTTTAATTTTTTATTGTTCTCTCTCTCTCTCTCTCTATATATATATATATATATATATATATATATACACACACAGTAGTGAGCATAAAGATCAGAATAATGTTAAGAAAAAGTCTAAATGTGAAATAACATTTTATTTTAAAGCTTCATAGAACATTTTATCAATGAAAAATAATGTTATAAAGGTAAATTATAATTCCAAAATAAACTTAAATTTTCTGAAATGTTCTTTGAAGCTCTAAAATAAAAAGTTATTTCATATTTAGACTTTTTAACAT